CTTTTTTGGTGTATGTTTGAGTTTTGGGTAGAAAGCCATGTGATTCCTCTTCCATTTCCTTTTGTGTATATTTCTTAAATGTAATTACCATGAGGGTTACATTTAATCTCTTAAGTCTATAGAAATGTAAATTCAGTTGATGCTAACTTAAGTTCAGTAGCAATTTAAGAGCACAGTTTTGCTTCTATACAGCTCCTACCCCCTTTATATCATTGTCAAAAATCACCTCTTTACACATTGTATGCCGTTAATAGAGATTTATAATTTTAACAATGCTTTTGTCTTTTAAATCATTTAGGGAATGAAGAATGGAAATACAATACTAATGGTTTATGTATTTGCCCATGTAGTTACCATTACTGGAGAACATGGTTTCTTCATGCAGCTTTGAATCACTGTCTCCTGTCCTTTCATTTCAACTTGAAGGTCTCCTTTTAGCATTTCTTATAGGGAAGATCTAGTGGTAACAAAGTCACTTATCTTTTGCTTATCTAGTCCTGTCTTAATTGCACTTTCATTTTTTATTGTGGAGATACACACACACACACACACACACACATACACATACATATGTATATACAAAAATTTATCATTTTAACCATATTTAAATATAAAGTTTACTGGCATTAAGCACATTCACCTTATTGTGTAATCACACACCCTCCCTCCATCTCCAGAACATTTTTATCTTCCCAAACTGAAACTCTCCCCATTGAGCAATAACTCCTTGTTCCCCCTCTTCCCCTTCCCCTGGTAACAACCATTCTACTTTCTGCTTCTTTGAATTGAACTGTTCCACACACCTTACATAAGTAGAATCATACAGTATTTGTCCCTTGATGACTGATTTATTTAAATTTATCATAATCTCTCTCTCATTTTTTTAAAGGACAGTTTTGCTGAATATAGAATTCTTAGTTGACAGCGTTTCCCCTCCTAGCCCTGTAAACATGCCATCCTCACTGCTTTCTGGTCTCCTTTGTTTCTGATGAGAAATGGGTTGTTCATCTTACTGAGTGTTATGGGTTGAATTGTCACCCCTGTCACTTCAAAAGTCATGTTAAAGTCCTAGCCCACAGTGTCCCAGAATGGTCCGTATTTGGAATTAGGATCATTTCATATGTAATTAGTTAAGATGAGATCATTAGTGTGGGCCTTAATTCAATACGACTACTGTTCTTATAAAAAGGAGAAATTTGAACACAGAGCTAGGCAGACACATGTAGAGGGAAGACTGAAGAAGGCACACAGGGAAAAGACAGCCATATACAAGCTAAGGAGGGAGGCCTGAGACAGATCCTTCCCTCACAGCCTTGAGACGGGACCAACCTGCCAATACCTCGATTCCAGACTTTGTTCTCCATATCTGTGAGACAGTAAATGTCTGTGGTTTAAGCAGCCCAGTGTGTGGTACTGTGATAATAACACCTACAGTAAATCAATACATTGCTGATCCCTTGGACTTGATTAGTTGCTTCCCTCTTACTGCCTGTAGGAGTCTCTCTTTGCCTTCCAATGGTTTGATTATAATGGGTCTCTTTGAGTTTATCCTACTTGGACTTCATTGAGCACCTTGGGACTATAAATTCATGTATTTCATCAAATTTGGGAAGTCTTTGATCATTATTTCTTCAGATATTCTTTCTTCCCTCTTATCTCTCTTTCTTTCCACCTTCTTGGATACTCATAATGAGTACGGTTGTGTCCCGCAGATCACTGACTTGGTTAATGTAGGCTGCCGTAACAAAATATCATAGTCTGGGTGACTTACACAACAAGATGTTTTCTCATGGTTCTGGAGCTTGGGAAAGTCAAAGGTCAAGTTTCCAGCAGATTTGCTTCCTGCCTGGTGAGGACCCTCTTCCTGTAGGGTTTCGGGCAGCTGCCTTCTCACTGTGTTCTCACATGGTGGAGAGACAGAGAAAGCTAGTTTCCTGATGTCTCTTATAAGGACATTAATTCTGTTGGATCAGGGCTCCACATGTATAACCTAACTTAACCTTAACTGATCTCCTTACTCCAGACACAGCCACAATGGGGTGGGGTGAGGCTTCAGCATAAGAATTTGGTGGGGGGGACATAATTCAGTCTGTAGCAGTCACTTAGGAGGTTGTTATTCATTCATATGGTTTTGAGTTATTGTCTAGTGTCCTTTCATTTCACCTTGAAAGGCTCCCTTTAGCGTTTCTTATAAGGAAGGTTTATTGGTAACAAACTCGCTCAACTTTTGTTTTCCTAAGAATGTCTTAATTTTACTTTTATTTATTTTTTATTGTGCTGATGTGCCATGTTGAAGAGGAAGTGGGGCAAGGGCAAGTAAAAATGTTACGGTGCCTTCCCAGTGTTTTCAAGTTGCCCTCTTCTTGATCAAGTGTTCTCTTGGTTGCTGTAAACGTTTGACTGTTTTGCAGAGTTGGTTCCTCTTGTGGCTATTACTCTTATTGTTTTGTTTCTGTAGAAAGGTGAGAACGTAGAGCATCTATTCTGCCATTTTGTTCTGCCTTCATTTTTTGAAAGATATTTTCACTGGGTATAAAATTCTACGTTAATAGGTTTTCTCTCTCAGTTCCTTAAAGATTCGCACCATTGACTTCTCTTTTCCATTGTTTCTGGTCCTGTGAACTCTGGCTCCCTTTGTCTCCTTGAACTCTCAGCTTCAAATCCTTACCTCAAGGCATCCGCTGGACTCTTCCCATGCGCCTGACCCCGATTTCACCCTGGACACTCTCTTAGGACAGGACAATGAGGCAATCATAGGGCTCACCTTGTTTTATTTTAGTCTCTTGGGAATCACTGTCCTTTGTTGCCTCATGTTCAGTGTCTCGAAAGCCAATTTTTTTTCATATTTTACCCCCTTTTTTTGTTTGTTTCAGAAGGCAGTAAATCCAGTCCCTATACTTACTTACTACATCAGAATCAGAAATCTAAATGTTATCATTTTAAATATTGATAATTTTCTTTTATTTAATGATGGAGGGAATGGAATGGATAAAGCTGTGAAGAATGGTGAAGAAGAGACAATTATGGAATGAGGTGGGAAGAAATGATTTAATTATTTAATCTGCTATCGATTGATACTCTTTGCCAGACTCCTGTGGGTATTGGGTGGAATAATTTATAGCCCTTGCCTTCAGAAAAAATGCCCATGATCTGATGGTGTGGTGGAATAGTTTAGAGTTTTTTTAATCAGGAGATACAGTTGCTGAGACAAAGCAGATGTTTCATGTTTCCAAACTATGAAGAATTGGAGTCATTTAAAACATTTTTCATTGAATGCAATTATAAATGCAATTCCGAAAAGAGCTACAAATCAGGGTAGATTTGTTCAGCCCTTAAGGGAAATGATGGTTAATTGTGTGAGGAGGTTGTAGGAAGGAGCATGAGATCTGGGGTCCGAAAACACACATATGAGCCCCCTGGGCCCTCTGCCCTCAGGGCGTATTTGTGCCTGCATGTGTAATAAAATGGGTTGAAGGCAGGCATGTTGGCGGTTTTTCATGGGGTACACATATAGAGTACCCAGCATAGTGCCTAGCATCTAGTAGGTTATTAGCAAATGTGGTCCCCACTACTTTGTGCAGAATGAGCCTTGCATTGTCTTTGCACAGCCCGACTCTCTGATGGGCACTTCCTTATGATTCCAAAGTCCACACATGTGCCAGTCAGACTCTCCCCAGAAGGGAACTGAGGGGGCTTTGGTTTCTGCACTGCATTCTGAGAGGTGCAGTTTCTGGCTCTTACTGGACCCCTTGTTCATTGGGAGTCACCCTCTGTTATAACCCTAAGAAAGATGAGTCTGAAGGCTTAGAGGAATAGCAGGAAGCAGAAAGGAGGTGCCGCTATCTCTAAGACATTGCTTCCAACCTGCCTGAAAAGTGTCTTCTGCTGGGGAATTGAGACTAAAGGACAGAGAACGCAACCCAACATGGGGCCTGAGGCCAGGGAGGAAGAGAAGGACTGAGGACCAGGAGAGGCATGAGGACGGGGACAGGAGGACTCC